ATTTGAATTGTCAGAAGATCAACGTTTCAATTTCAAAGATTACATTGATATTATTAGCAAAAATCGTACTGAAGATGTTATACTGAAATTAATAAAAAGTCTAAAACAGACCGAAACGCAAGCTTCTTTTCCCGAATCTCCAGAGAAATTTGTTTTTAATTACTCAAGTATAACATTATCGACTATTCAGCTACAAGCATTATCCCTTGGTCCTAAATTTTGTAGCACGTCTACTAACATTAATGAACTCAACGCGAAAATCCAGTTTGAAGGCCTCATGCGACAGACAAATGACCTTACTCCAGTGTCTAATGAAGATTTTGAGCATTTTAAAACAACTCTTGTGGATTGTTGTAATCAATATGTAAATAAAATACCTACAATTAGCCGATTACTCACAAAAGAACATAAATCTCAATTATCTGATCTGCGAAAAAATCAGGACTTAGTATTATGCCGCCCAGACAAGGGTGCAGGAATTGTTCTTATGGATCGTATTGACTATGTTACAAAAATATCTTCAATATTATCTGATCCTGTCAAATTCTCTATTGAGAACGTTCAAAAAGACACTACTGAAAAAACTGAACAAATGCTAAGTAAAATTTTGAAGAAAATGAAAGATGAAGATATTATCAATCATGACCTCTATGAACACCTCAAACCATCTGGTTCTGTTGTACCAAGACTATATGGACTACCAAAAGTTCATAAGAATAATAACCCACTACGTCCTATACTGGATATGAACAATTCTCCCTATCACTCAATCGCTAAATGGTTAGTTAACATTCTACAACCTGTTAAAAATCATATCAACAAACACAATTCTCTTGATTCCTTCGACTTTGTTGACTCCATTAGAAATATCAATGTATCCGGTAAAAAAATGTTCTCATTAGACGTCACTTCTCTTTTCACAAATGTTCCCCTCACAGAAACCATTTGTTTTTATGTGACTATATTGAAAATAATAATCTTGATATGCGTATCCCGATACATTACCTTAAAGAACTACTTCTAAGATGTACGCTCAATGTGCAATTTAGATTTAATGATATTTTCTATAAACAAATAGATGGAGTTGCAATGGGCTCTCCATTGGGTCCTCTCCTGGCTGATTGTTTTATGGCGAACCTAGAAAATTCGGTACTTCGACCAATAATTGAAAGATTTCATTTATATAAAAGATATATGGATGACACTTTCATTATTTGCGAAGAAGACGTTGACCTCAATGATATTTTGAATATTTTCAATAGCTGTCACCCATCAATCCAATTCACCTTAGAAGCAGAGACAAACCACGAATTTCATTTTCTTGATATCCATTTAAAAAGAATGCCTGACGGTTTATTACAGAGATCGATATACAGAAAACCCACTTGGAATGGACAATACACGAACTTCCACAGTTGGGTTCCTCTAATTAGAAAAAGGAACTTAATTCATTCTTTATCCTCAAGGATCAGGCGAATTTGTTCCAACGACACAATAGATGGGGAACTATTTTATCTTCGACAGACCCTCATCAAAAACGGTTATCCACCGAGATTCATCGATAGAAACTTGGTACCTAGACCCCATGTTAAAGCATTGACAGTAGAGAAAAAAACTCTATTTATGAATATGGAATTCAAGGGAGATACAGCTGCTGAAATCCTAAATAAACGGATTTCGAAATCAATTAATAAAACATTCCACGCAGCTAAGCTTCGAATCATCTTCTCAAGCCGACCTACCATTCTGGGGTGTGTTAAGGACAAAATTTCGCTTTGGGCCACTTCAATGTGTATCTATAAATTTACTTGCTCATGTGGGGCATGTTACATAGGCCGCACAAAGCGATCATTATCCAAACGCATCTCGGAACATTATCCGGCTTGGCTTTTGAAAGGGGAGCGAAAAACAATCACAAGTTCCATACAGGAGCACTTAATCAACTGTGGACATATCGCTCCAAAAGACTCTTCGTTTAAAATAGTTTACAGAGTCAAAGGAACTGGATCGAAGGGGGTTCGAATCAATATTTTATGCACCGCAGAGGCATTGGCAATCCACAAACTAAAGCCTGAACTTTGCGTGCAGAAACGATTTGTCCAACCTCTTATCCTTCCCTGGCCCTAATTCCCTTTATGGGTATGTTTCTAGGTGTTTTTTTTTTTCAATGCACTTTTATTATTACTATTTTGCACTTTAAACTCTAATCATTTATTATTATTACCTTTTACAAGTTTTCTTGATTATCATTCACTCTATTATTATGACCTTTGTTGTTTTGACGTTTTTCTTCATATCTGTCAATTGGACTATTATCTGACCCTTAAATTTTGTTCTCCTTACGTTAACCTCATTTGTTATTCATTGTCGAATCCATTTTTTGTGTGATACAATCCATTCTATCCTTCTATAGACATACATTTTCCATATCTAACTATATATACGAATGTACAGCTTAAGTAAATGATTTCGTCGAAAAGAAAATTTTCTTCGCTGAATTCTCTGAATTCCATTCAATTGATTGTTCCACAATGATCCGTAGAGTTGCGATTTGGTCTGTACACAATCCATCCTTATGGAATCCTGCCTGTTGGTCACGAAGTTGGGCGTCCACAGAGTCCTTTATCCTGTTTAACAATACCCTGTTGAAGACTTTTCCTGGTATTGAGAGAAGAGTGATGCCCCTGTAGTTATCACACTTGCTGAGATCGCCTTTCCCCGGTATTTTGATCAGAAGTCCTTCTTTCCAGTCTGTTGGTACTTGTTCCTCATCCCAAATCTTATTGAAGGGAATGTGGAGTATCCTTGCAGTTGCCGCTACGTCTGCTTTTAGTGCCTCTGCTGGAATGTTGTCCGGTCCTGCTGCTTTGCCACTCTCGATTTGTCTGATGGCCATCCTTATCTATTCAATTGTTGGTGGGCCAACATTGATTGGGAGGTCTGTGGGTGCTGCTTCGATGTTGGGTGGGTTCAGTGGAGCTGGTCGATTTAAGAGTTCTTTGAAGTGTTCTACCCACCTGTTTCGTTGTTCTTCAATGTTGGTGATTACCTCGCCTTCCTTGCTTTTCAATGGTCGTTCTGGTTTGCGGCGATTTCCAGAGATTTTCTTTGTTATGTCATACAGTTGTCTCATGTTTCCTTCTCTTTCAGCCTTTTCCGCCGTCGTTGTTAAATCTTCCACATATTTATGTTTGTCGGTTCTGATGCTCCTCTTCACTTGTTTGTTTACTTCTGTGTATTCAGCTTGTGCCTTGGCTATTTCTGCTCTTGTTCGACTGGTATTGATTACTGCCTTCTTGTTCCTCCTTTCTTGAATCTTATCCAGTGTATCAACAGTGACCCATTCCTTGTGGTGGTGCTTCTTGTGGCCCAGAACCTCATGACATGTTGAAGTGATCGCCTCTTTGATCCTTCTCCAGCTGCTCTCCATAGTACTTTTCCCTCCATTGAGTGAATCGTGAAAGGCCTGGAACTTGTTGCTGAGGGCTATCTTGAATTTGTTGAGCTTGTCAGTATCCCGAAGAAAAGCCGTATTAAACTTTTGTGATGTTGTCCGCCTCATTGTCCAGTGTTTCTTGAGTTTCAACTTTATCTTGGTGACCAGCAAGTGATGATCTGATGCTATATCAGCTCCTCTCTTGGTTCTCACGTCCTCTATAGTCCTCCTGAACGTTTTGTTGATGCAAATATGGTCGATTTGGTTTTGTGTAGTATGATCCGGTGAAGTCCATGTGGTTTTTTGTATGCGTTTGTGTGGGAATATGGTGCCGCCTATAACCAGTTTATTGAAGGCACATTGGTTTGCAAATCTCTCACCATTTTCGTTTCTTTCTCCCAGTCCGTGTCGTCCCATGATGTCTTCATATCCAGTGTTGTTCATTCTAAAGTTGGCATTGAAATCTGTCATCAGAATGGTCAGGTCCTTTGTTAGGCACTTCTCGATGATTGATTGCAGCCTATCATAGAATTGGTCTTTAACGTCTTCATTGTAGTCGCTGGTAGGCGTATAGCATTGGATGAAGTTCATTGAGATGCCCTCTTTGTTTGTTTTGGAGGAGGCTTTAATGATCCTTGGTCCATGAGATTCCCATCCTATAAGTGGATTTTGTGCTTGTTTTTATAGCATCAATGCAACTCTTTGTGTATGTGGAACTTTTCTTCTTTATGACCAGAGTATAACAGAACCTCTCCTGAAGCTATTCGTTGTTGTCCAACTTGCGTTCAATGTGTTTCACTGATCCAAAGCACCTCCAGGTTGTACCTCCTCATTTCTGCAGCAATTTGGAAGGCTCTTCCGGTGTCCCACATTGTACGAACATTCCATGTACCTAAATAAATGGTTGCTCTGGTTGTCAGAAGGGACATCGGCCTCGTAACTTCCGAAGGAACTCGGCTTTCATCATGAGGCGTCATAACTCTTCTAAATGAAGACCTTCTGACTCCCAGGGCAGAGTTTAAAAGGTTTGAATAAGTTTTTCTAGTTAGTGTTTTTTCGCGAGTTAGATTTCTACGGGATGGGGTCGCTAACTCCATGCCCAACCCTCCTCCTTTATCGGGGCTTGGGACCGGCAGTAGATCCCAGAGGGACTCCAGATGGAGTTATTTAGGTTTTATACTTTATAGTATTTCCAAAAATAACTTCCTGTTTGAGGACTTATTATGGTTTAGGCGTTTCCAAAATTTACATCTGATTCTTTACTCTAAAACTCTTTTAAAAAGGAAAAACAGCCAAACTCTCTGTGAGATAAGTATCGTTAAGCTTTAAAATCTGGGTTCCATAAACCTCCACATTTTCACAATCTGATTGCACAACAGCCGTATTGAAATTCCTTATTTCCTTGATTTTCTGGGTACTTCTGTGAGTCATTAGTTTCCGTTGAGCATTTGATTATCAATACGTCTTTGTAGGCAGAACTATGGACCTAAAGCTGTTCTATACCATCAAGACCCATAAATAATACAATGGTTTAAAATTACGAGATCTCATAGATATTGGATAATGAATGTGAAAGCGCAGTTTAAAGGAGGTGGTGTAGATGGATGTTCTTAGTATTAGCTTTTATTGTCGCTGGTCTGCTAGCTCTGTTTCAGGATTTATTATTTTCAGTTATACCATCAGTTATTTACTCGTAGTTTATATGCACTCGACATTTTCAGCATTTTCAAAGCAAACACCACTACCAGTCAGATATCTGATTTTTAGTCATGGATAACAATTAGTTCCCTTCAGAGTTTTTAAGGCCACATAAAGCAGGGATATGAATAGAATCGGCCACTTATTAGTTGTTTCATGAATGTATGCCGTCCCAAATGTAGGAAATGTTTAAAAAGACACTTTTGGCGTAGAGATGGTTCATTCTGCTTTACTGAGGGAAGCAGCCTCAATCCTGGCGACACCGCTTAGCGTGATGGTCTCACACTCGCTAAGGCGAGGCAGACTACCGGAAAATTGGAAGCTGACTCACATCACACCAGTTTTCAAGGGAGGTCGACGCAGCGAACCTTCAAGTTACCGACCGGTGGTTGTTCTCTCTATATTTTCAAAAATTATGGAGTCCCTGATATGCGACGGTTTATACGACTATCTACTGTCCTTAAATTTCTCATCCCAACAGCATGGTTTCAGGGGGGCTACTCTTGTATAACCAACGTGATGACTGCGGTGGACGAGCATCCTCGATCTCATGAGAAAGGTTGACATCATCTACCTAGATTTCTCAGAAGCTTTTGATAAGGTTAACCATTTATGTCTTATCAATAAGTTTAAACGATTGGGTATCATACCACCTCTGATTGGTTGGCTCACTTCATATCTGAAAAATCGACATTTTAAGCTTAGGGTTAACTTCACTTTATCTCAGCCCATGGAATGTCCTAGTGGGGTCAGCCAGGACTCAGTACTAGGACCTCTTCTCTTCTTGATTTATATAAATGATCTTGCAAGACAGGCATCGTCAGACAATTAATTCTGCTGATGACGTGAAACTTTGGAGAGAGATACGCAACTAAGACGATATACAGGCAATTCAGGAGGATCTGACTCGATTCCAAAGTTGGGCAGACGACAACAGATTGCAGTTACAACTTAAGAAACTCCTCTCTAGTAGTATCCGAGGTCGAAAAAGATTTAGGAGTCCTGGTGCCCTACGATTTGAAGTCTCGCTAACTGACAAAAATGCCTTTCGAGGAAATTTTGCACTGGTAACATTGAAGCGCATTTTTGGCCAGTTTGATGAAAGAACTTTCACGAAATCTTCAACATTTTTATTCATCTTCATTTGGTGTACGGAAACATAGTATTTCCTCTCTCACTCCAAAAGGATAAGGACACTGGAGCGTATCCAACGGCGAGCCACGAAGTCAGTTCGGGGACTCAAATTCAAACCTTATGAAGAGCGCCTCCAATCACTTAACCTTTACCCATTAGAGTATAGGCGTCTTAGAGGTGACCTTAACATTTCTGGACATCCCTTTAAACACCTATTTAAGCTTAGTCTCAATACCAACCTAAGGGGTAATACCCAGGAATTGGAGATGCAACATAGCAGGACAGACTGTAGACACAACTTCTACTTCTTAAGAGTTGTCAAATGCTGGAATTCGCTGCCGTCTGAACTAGTGCAAGAGACTTCCCAGGAGTTCTTTAAGAGGAAACTTGACCTATTCTTAAGGACCAAGGATAACATCTCATTATGAATTACCAATTTCTTCTTTTCTTCCAATCCTTTATGGTTAATATTCCTAGGTTCCTACCTGAAGGTATTGGTGATCCCCTGCTACTAGACACGGGAGCCTGTTAAGCGAAAGCTTCTTCTATTTCGTCCACAACTATTTGAACTACGTTTAGACCTTAGTCGATTGTTCATGTTGAAATGTTACCATACACTATCTTGCAGTTGTGATTATTAAGTAAAGGTAGTTATTAACTGTTCTCACTTCGGTATGTTCACAACAGCTTTGTATTATTGAGTGCTGACAACTGTTGTGTATTACATCTCTTTTTTCATACGATTAAGAGGATTTCAACTACGTAAATTCTTTAGATGTGAAGAAATAGTCATATACTGTCGATTTCATATAGCTATGTTAGACTGCCTCGCATGAACAATAATTTGCGTTATTGTAACGTTTACGAAATCCCGTGCTGTGTACATGACTTATGTAATTACTTTCTAATTTATTCTAAGATGTCTAACTGATGGAAATTGTCAGCATTGATTCACCGAAGTTCCGAATAGGAGATCTGAGAAAGCAGTTTATTTCCTGTCTACCTAATGAACATAAAATACTGAAGGAAAACGAAGCTAGTGATCTTCTTACATCTGAGTTTAAGAAGATCGTAACTGATTCTTCAATATTCAAGCAGCTTGAGAATGATTGCAGGTAAATCTATATACAATTTGAGATTTTTGTTTAGTTTGGAAAATTTATACGTCGATAGAGAGTACACGACCTTAGAAGAAATCTTAAAAATCATACCATCGAGGAAAGATGAAAAGCAGCTGAAAACCCTAACTCATTTACTGAAAGAAACTGAAGGTTTGAATTCTAGAACATCAGTCCTCACAGCAATGCAAAGAAATCCTCGACCACTTGTGGATATGTCTTACCGAAATTCTGTTGATGAATCTCCAGAGGCCACAGAAGTCATCCCGGATGTATTTGTGACCGTTCTTGTCTACCGACCATTTAGCCTTCCTAACATTGATCCCTGTGCACAGGTATTATTGGTCATTTTTAGCGACTTTGTAAGTCTCGGCAACTAGTCATTACTCAGAGGTTGGTGCTGTTGTCCAAACAAAATCTCACAGTCTTAAGGGAAGCTGTAAAGTGTTCACAAGATAAAGTAAGTGTTAACCCTGTGTAAACAGTTATCAGGTTTGGCTAGGAGACTGTAGCGAGGCCCTTGATAATCCTGAACTGCGTGTTTCGGCGGATAAAATATACCCTTCTTCATACTTTTTCATTGAAGGCACGTTTTATGATGATTTGCGGAACGCAAATAGCAAGAGCCTTGGGGAGTAAGTTATTTTGTTTACTTACGTTATGCCCTAGAGAGGTTATAAAGTGGGCGAAAAGCAAGAAAGAACTTAAGACGTATGGGCCTTTTACATCATTACCAATGGAATCAATGACTCTCGAAAATCTTGTTATTTGTATTGGAAAGCCATATTTCTTCGTACACCAAGGAAATTGTGAACATATGATTATCTTCTCCGATATCCGGTGGGTTTAAGAACTCATTCCTTAGTTCTGGCATTCCGCTTTATCTATTATACTAGCAATTTACTTGAAATTGTGGTTAACCTCAACCTAATCAATTTGTAAACTATTGCGTCACCAAATCGACTACTCTTAACCTATTGTTTGGCTAAGTAAATGACCATTCTGGGATCCCATATCGGTATTTCGAGGATAACTTACATTCAGGACATGGGATTCTTTAGCCCTAGCAAGTGAACCCTGTTGCTCGGTTGGACATAGACTTCAGACATTAAAAGGATCACTGAATAGTTTAGAGCGTGGCTTCAGTAAACTTTTGACCCCATTTTGTTAACTCGAATAGTCAGCACTAGTGGCATGTCTAGGAGAAGTTGAGGATTTATGTTTAACGAATTATTAGTGAGTAAAAGAGGGATTGATTGTGAATAAGGTGACATCAAGTTCTGCTAGATATATAAGGGTGGGTGTTAGTTCCGGGCTCCAGACCTCGCGGAATCATTCTTGAAGGAAGGAACGAATTTTCACTTTACTCTTGAAGAACCTGAAAAATAAACTGGTCTTGGTGTAATTTTGACTAACTGAAATGAGTCACCGCAGAGCTCAAATGCTTGAAGTAATCAGTAAATTAACTTTAGAAGGAAATAAAAAAGAAATATCGCCAATAAATTGTAAAATAAACAGTCACGCCAGTGTGGGTCATCATTATTCTTCACATTATTGTGCAATCAGAAAACTGCGGCATGCTGCTGTTGGCTTTAATATTAATTCTAAATTCGCAACCTGTCAGAATGTTTCTGTTATAACGCTCTGTTATAAACGCTCAGACATAATACTCGTAGGGGGTTACTTTAATGCTCAGATAGGTAGCTTAGACCAAACAGAAAGGCATTTAGGTGGATATTTTGGCATTCCGGCACAGCGAACAGATAATGGTGATCGTCTGCTGCAACTGTGTTCAGACAATCGCTTATTTTTAGCAAACACAAATTTTAAGCATAAGAAGAGACATCGTCTAACGTGGCGACCGCCTGCACCAAACCAACGATGGACTCAAATAGACCATATTGCCATCAGTCATCGTTGGAAAGGGTCGGTAGAAGATTGTCGCTCATTCTGGAGTACCTGCTTGGACTCCGACCACGCCCTAATACGGGCACGCATCTGCTTGCGCCTCACTGGACGCAAAAAAGCCACAGTAAAAAGACCCATTAGAACCGAACTGAGTAGCGAGGAAACCAAAAGTAGGTTCCAGGAACAACTGAGGTCACGATTAGGTAGTTCTGAAGACGAGGCTGACCCAGATGTTGCTTGGAATGAAATACAGGCAGCTGTGGAAACAGCAGTGACATCTACTAGCGACTTAAACCACAGAGTTTCAAAGAACCAGTGGATTTCTTCAAAGTCTATCACACTGATTGATTCTCGCAAACTCGTCCCATCAGGTTCCGAACATGATAAAGAGCGACAACAAATCAGATCTAGGTTAAGAAAAAGTCTAAGAAACGACCGTGAGCAGTGGTGGGCAACGAAAGCAAAAGAGATGGAAAAGGCGGCGACTATAGGGAACACAAGACAGTTTTACAGACTAATAAAAGAAACTGGAATTAATAAGTCAAGTGTAAGTGAGATTATATCGGAAAAAGACGATACACTCATCTGCTCCCAGTCCAGGCGTTTAGAACGATGGGCGGAACATTTCAGAGAACAGTTCAGCTGGCCTTCAGCTACTCTACAACTACCCTCCATTCCCAGACAGTGTGAATGGAACATTGAAGTAGGTCCCCCAACTCTTGCTGAAGTTCAAAAAGCTATAGTTAATCTGAAACGAGGAAGGGCAGTTGGTCCAGATGGATTGGCTCCAGAGGTCTTTAAGGATGGTGGTCCAATTTTAGCGATTAGGTTGACTAATATTTTAGCTAAAATCTGGGAGTTAGACGTTATTCCATCTAACTGGTCACAATCACTTATCGTCCCAATATATAAGAAAGGGTCAAAATCATCCTGTGATAACCACAGAGGGATTAGTTTAACAAATATAGTATCTAAACTACTAGCCTCGATAATTATCAGACGCCTAACTAAGACTCGTGAACTGCAAACACGAGAAAATCAGGCTGGCTTCAGACCTGGTCGTGGCTGCATCGACCACATATTCACCATTCGTAAGATTCTAGAACACAGGCATACTTATCGGCGTCTGACAATGGTGGTCTTTCTCGACTTAAAAGCAGCATTTGACTCGGTAGACCGCGAGATTCTGTGGCAGTTTCTGTCATCGAAAGGCGTACCTCGGAAGTACATAAACCTTGTAAAAGCTCTTTACTCGAACACTACTAGTCGAGTCAGAGCTTATGGCGAACTGTCACCTGCTTTTGCAACCTCAAGTGGTGTCCGTCAAGGCTGTCCACTTTCCCCATTTTTGTTTAACTTCATCATAGATCTACTGATGTAAATAACTTTCTCGTCGACTGAATTCTCGGGTATTGATCTCTTACCAGGAGGTCCACTTATCGACTTAGAATACGCAGATGACATAGTCCTGTTTGGTGAAGACGCTGATAAAATGCAGTCTTCTGGTAGCACTAAGTAACAATGCCAGTATGTTTGGAATGCGCTTTTCTCCCTCGAAATGCAAGTTGTTGCTTCAGGACTGGTCTGCGTCAACACCTGAACTAAGGATAGGCTGCGAAGTAGTCGAACGCGTTGACAACTTCACTTATCTTGGAAGTCTGATCAGCCCTAATGGGTTGGTATCGGACGAAATCTCAGCAACATGGCCATTAAGAGTAGAAGACACTCGTAAGCTATTAGTATTTGACCACAGATGCCTTAGAAATATTGCTGGCGTCTGCTGGGATCACCGGGTAAGTAATAGTGAGGTTAGACGCAGGGTATTAGGGAATGATGGTAAATCAGTTGATGAGGTTATTAATCTTCATCGGCTGAGATGGTTGGGCCACGTGTTACGTATGCCTGAACACCGATTACCACGACGTGCAATGCTATCCGGTATTGGAAATGGTTGGAAGAAAGTTAGGGGCGGCCAAACCAAAACGTGGCATCAGTGCTTGAAGTCACTAACTTCTAGTCTGAGCCATGTTGGTAGATGCAGACTACTTGGTTGGGGTCCGCGTGACTATCGTAACCAATGGTTGGAGACTCTTGGTGACATGGCTCAGAATCGATCACAATGGCGTCGGTGTATACACTCCCTGTCTTCCCTTAAACTAAGAGATTAAAATCGCTTCATATCTTTCTTTCTACGAACGAATTCTTTCTTCTTGTACTATATCTCTATATGCAATCTTTCTCTTACATATTACTACCTTTGACCTAACCACTGCTATGAATCCGGTGTTCATCTTGTTGTGCTGATGCGGTATGGCAACCTGGACTGATGCACATATGTGCCTGGTCCTACGTTGTAGCTGACTGACTGACTTTATTTCGTCTAATGTTATAATAGTTGGGTTTCCACTTTTACATGTATGGGACGCTAATTTACCTTAGACGAATATCTACACTAGATTACCTCCCAGTGTCTATTCTACAGGACGTCAAGAGAACTCAAATCAAGAATACATGACTATCCTGACCACAACGTAAATATACTTCCACACCAAAAACCCGACACAATTCAAAAATAATGTACAATAATAAGTAAGAGTAATAATAAGGATAGGGTAATATATAACTTATCTGACACCTGTCAGACTATCTACATGTCTGACTAAGCAGACAACCAATCATTGTCATTATCGCCCACACATCAGTTTCAATGCCTTTAAACGTTATTTTGTCATTTGTTCCAGAAATAAACAGCAAGTTTTTCGGTCACTGGTTGTTTATTAGATATCGGATGATATGAATCCATTATGATCGACATTCTGACTGATACATTAACCAGGTGACTCCGCAACACATTGTACTGAAAACACGTCTCTAACAGTTTGAAATATACATAACTCGCGAATTCCTCATTACTAAGATAAAAAAGGCAATTTGCATGCTGTATGCTATCGTTTAATTTGGAAGTTTAAAGCAATAGACAAGTTTCAGACAACTGTTTTCACAATTTTTTTTAAACTTCAGTCTTGTAGATCGTGATTCATGTCAAACTGAGTCCTTATTCCCAATGCTCACCGGTCGATGCAATGTACGTGTAATGCATTGTTTCGTTTGCAGACGTCTTGCATCCCGCTGGATAGTTACAGAGTGTGGGACCATTTTACCTGTCGATCCATGTCCAATATGTGATGTATGCATCCGACTGCTACTTTACACTGCTGATGGAAAGAAGATTAATCCGCGTTTTAGAGTTTTGATGTATTGTGGAGAGGAAATTGTAGTGTGAGGCCTCATGTAAATAATTTAAAATAAATACTTTAAAAAAGCATTTCACTTTTCACAAATCAAACTCTAAAATTACACTAATAGCAATCTTCAGCTGTTTTTCTGTAGAATTTCGATAATCGAATTAACACGTTGTTACATATCCTTCACTGATAGTTTACGTTTCCAACTAATTCCTATATATTTCAGACAATAAATCTTATGGGTTTTCCTAGAGAGGAGAAAAACAATGAACAAGCAGCGAACACAAACCCATCAGTAGGAGAATCAAGCGCAGATAAAGTTGCGGCTGCTACTTTCGGTGTTTTATCTGAAATTTCAAGTCTCTTAAACACAGGTAAACGTTGTAAATGTAATCAGAATCCCCAGTTGATGTCCACTTTAATACTAAAAACGACTAAATTATCTACTGTAACAACGCAAAACCTGGTTAAATAAAGATCGACTTTATATTAATTTTCAAGCTAATTAGTTAAAAAACAAGAAGTGGTAGTTGCGCGTCACAACTTATTAGGACTTACCGAATGTTAGGTGAACATTGATTTTAGATCCTCTGAATAATTGTTCTATTATTATTATCATCATCACAAAACCGTTGCTCAAAAATTCCCATTTATAAGCCTTATTGACTATCGCACTTTTGATTGTGACTAGATTTCTGTAAACGAATACATCTTAGCTCTAAATATCTTATAGCACTACCGATTTCATAATCATAGTGGACATTAAGATCTTGGTCTCACGACTTCCCACGGTGGAGATGTCACTGAAAGTGGGCATTATCATGTTTCTTAATTCCACAAGTATGACACGCAGTTGTGACTGGTTGATCGAAAAATTCTACATTCATTTCATCGTAATATTTCACAAATATCACTTACTTACTTTTACTTACGCCTGTTACTCCTCGTGAAGGAGCATAGGCCGCTCACCAGCATTCTCCATCCAACCCTGTCCTGGGCAATCCTTTCTAGCTCCGTCCAGTTGTAATTCATCGTTTTCATATCTGCTTCTATTATCCGACGCAATGTGTTCTTTGGCCTTCCTCTTTTTCGCTTCCCTTCAGGATTCCAAGTTAGGGCTTGCCTCGTGATGCAGTTCGACGATTTGCGTAATGTATGTCCTATCGATTTCCATCGTCTTTTCCTAATTTCTTCTTCAGCTGGAAGCTGGTTTGTTCTCTCCCACAGAAGGCTGTTGCTGACGGTATCCGGCCAATGGATGTTGAGTATCTTGCGTAGACAGTTATTTATAAATACTTGTACTTTCTTGATTGTGGTTGTTGTAGTTCTCCAAGTTTCAGCTCCATACAGTAGAACTGCCTTGACGTTCGTATTGAAGATTCTTACTTTGATATTGGTTGAAAGTTGTTTTGAGTTCCATATGTTCTTCAATTGTAGGAAAGCGGCCCTTGCTTTGCCGATCCTCGCCTTTACGTCTGCATCGGATCCTCCTTGTTCATTGATGATGCTTCCCAGGTATGTGAAGGACTCTACATCTTCCAGAGTTTCGCCATCAAGTGTGATTGGATTGCTGTTCTCCGCTTTGAATTTGAGGACCTTAGTTTTCCCTTTGTGTATGCTGGGGCCTACTGATGCAGAGACTGCTGCTACACTGGCTGTCTTTATCTGCATCTGTTCGTGTGTACGTGATAGGAGGGCTAGGTCATCTGCGAAGTCCAAATCTTCTAATTGGTTCTGAGCTGTCCATTGTATTCTGTGTTTTCCTTCAGATGTTGAGGTCTTCGTAATCCAGTCGACCACCAGAAGAAAGAGGAAGGGAGAGAGTAAACAGCCTTGTCTGACTCCGGTCCTTACTTGGAACGCATCTGTCAGCTGTCCTCCATGCACTACTTTGCACTGTAGTCCGTCGTATGAGTTCCAGATAATATTGACAAATATCACGTAAGCTTAAAATATGCTGTTCTCTCGAATACCTACGATCAAATTCGGAGTTGTGAGAAATTCAGGATCACCTACAACCCTCATCTTCATCCGAATTCTTTGTAGATGTCCTGTCACAAATGGTGGGTATGTATGAAATTAGGAAATGCTATTGGTTCCTCCTGTAATGAAATAGTGTGGCAAATTACTTTGTCTAAATTTTTCATTAAACATATAGTGTACCCGGGTTAACTTCAATTCACGTAATTTTCATTTTAGGTTTAGATAATGAAGAATTGCTGATGTGCATCAAACTAATTGAGAGCGGTGTGAACCCAACTACTCTAGCTTTACTTGTAAACAATGTGAAACAACAGTGCGAACACCTTTCTGAACTCAAAAGATAAGTAAAACTTTGAATCCTGTATTGCATATTCAGAGATTGCAAAATAAAGATTTATTATTAACAAGAAAGAAATCACAGCTTTTCAACGAGTGGTGTTAGCAACAACCTTGTAGTTTGATTAAATTTTTAAACAAAGCGATTACCAATAGTCCAATGTAAGAAACAAAGAAATAATACAATAACTAAGTAGGATATGTCATATAGTAATAAGGAAGCCTTTCAGTATGACAACTCAACCGATGGCATCAGCTATTATTCGGCTAACAACGGGATCAGATGAACGTACTGTGATTTGGAAAGTTACACCCTGTTCGTTTGAATGAAGGGATGCATCAGACAATACTTTAGCAAGTTTACATAAGGCCAAAACTTGGTACCCACCACGATATACTCCGGACAGAAGGAGCTGATGAGATGACTTCCCTTCATGAGGCATATGATCAGTTTGATCACAAGGCTGAAGTCCAAGGTGTTCGATAATTTGACGCATCGTTTCTAAAGTATGAGGAAATAACCAATGATTTAAAGCGAAGAAGCATGAGGATTCGTTACATATCTGTAAAAATCAGTGTTTTACAATAAATATCATTTGATGATCATGAGCAGCTGCATAGTATATGTTGCCCTACTCTCCAAGAAAACAAAATTATGAACAATTCAGCCGTGTTCTTTCAAAGCATTGACAAAAGTTATATAACTCTTTATTACACACTATATAAAAACAATAACCTTAGCTTAATTCCGTTAATTGTGTAGACCGAGGCAGAGTACACCCATTTCTAAGGTAAGAAAAGAGATTAGTTTTAAACAGTTCTTTAATGAGAAAAATGTAAATTCACTAGACATTTTCATCTAGCAAAATAATAGTGAGCCCTATAGATTTTGAGCAGGTGACAAAAAAACGGTAAAACTCGAGTTTCCTATAGTTTGAAAATATGAAAAAAAAACCATTGTGATTATAAGAAGACAGATAAGTTGTTTTTATCGTAGTCAACATGCTTTACTTTAAAATACTTCGTAATATACTATACCCTGTTTGGGAACAAATCTATTGATAAATTTGACTTCGTTAAGACACTCTATACTTTTGTTTCGATAGTTAAATAACGTTAATTAAAGTTAATAGAATGTCTAAAATTTGATGCACACACTGGGTTTGTATTAATCAAATTGATCTGGGTAATTCATTGGTCATTTAGTTCGAAGTAACAGACTGCAAGTGTAAGATAAAGTATCAACAGTAAAGTTTAGCATACCTTTAATAGTTTTGTGCTTCACCAGCATATACGTTTCCTCTACTTCAGTTTCAGGACTGAGTTCCTGCCAAGCCAATGTAAAGTTCTGTTTCGAAACACGTTGAATATGGTCTGAAATACCTAGGACCAGGTCTTCCAACTGTTATAAAAGTCGGAATTGTTAGAAAATGAGAAACCAGAAAAGTGGATGGGGGATATGATGTACCATAACAAAAGCATACTTAGCGACTTAACTTAATTGTTATTTTATAAACAAAAATGTATGATGGCTAGCTGTGGAATCTAGAATGTGCGTTCCGTCGTATTGGGGACTTGTCTGTTGGATTTACCGGCATCACCGAGTTGATGTTCACCCCAGGACTCGAACCCAGTACCGCTCGCTACAAACGCCATCACAGGTGCTGGGTTCGACTCCCGGATTAAACATCAACATTTGGGTGCAGTTACATCTAACTAACAAGTTCCAAATAGTACGAAGCGCGCATCCTGGATTGCACTGCTAGCTACCATCCTTTTTTGCCTATAATGCTCGTGACTCAAGGCAATCCGCACAGGATGTGCATATGCCAGTAAGAGACTGGTCGATTGCACTCCTAAACATCGATGGGAAAATAAGAACGAACAATACAAAAACGAATTAATTATAATGTGATATTCCCAACGAAATGAAACTTTTTTTGCTTTACTAACATGCAACTGCAATTTGTTTACGTCTAACTGGAACATAGTACAGATCCACTTTTGTTACTTAGTTACTTTATTGACAATGTTCGACTACATATGCGCCTTGAAACTAAATACTGAGTAAATTAACAATATTGACGGGCCTTCGTGTGGATTACCGAATACTTCACTTGATACGACTGTTTGGTATTTTTCAGATCTAAAAAACTACTTGTTAAAGAGCAATGACTACGTTTGTTAAACGTGTAAGGTTTAAAATGGATCAAATATGAAACAAGTTAAACCTTTGGATTTATTATTATTGTTGTTCATACTGACAATTAACAAAGTATCACGTTCATCCAAACTTCTAATGATTTTCGGGTACTAAAATAATAGTCTAGCCATGCAACTACAAAATTAGGTGTATTACATGGATAAAATATTTCCTGTAAATATCTGGTGAGATATTTAGAAAATGATGAGCAGAATTGGCTAACCAATGTTCATACCAAAAGTAATTGTACGTCTTCTAACTAATTACTGTATAAGTCCAGTATACGAGGTAGCTGTAGAAAAGCAGCATGTGTCTATGAACTGTGATTAATGATACAAGTATAGTCTTGACATGCCAAATTGCTGCTTTTTTTAGGATTTATTTTACAGAATGACTCAGTGAAAGATAAATTATATTTACAGAATCAAAGTTTATGACATGATGTGTAACACAAACCTCCATTGGGCCCACAAATAACTTACTTGATATTCGTCTGGCAAACCAGGATCCGAAGGATCAGAGTCAATATCTTTGATAGTAAATTTCAATATGTTGATAAATGTAGCAGAATGACATTCTAGATCCTCCGGCAACTCAACTAGAACATACGTCACAGCGGGAGAATTATATTTTAAGCTTTTGCAAGGTACTGTGCAGACAATGTTAAACATGGGATCGTCCGGCTCACACGAAACATAGACATTCTCCAAGACTTGGTCTGCCATTGTATTGACACAATCAAACTGAAAAAAATTATTGAATGAAATCAGAGCGAGCAGAGAATAAACAGAAGGTTACTCACTTCTATATGATATTGAATTACTTGACAATCTATAGTTTGATGTGATAAGACTAAGAAAAGACGAATCCGGACTGTTTATATAGCAGCAGTGATCTAAACCTTGTGTATATAGGGCCTAGAATCGTGGTCTTAAGGAAATGTAATGAGATATTAAGAGCTATCAGACAAACAAAACGCAAATGTGGTTCATTGACTCATCTTTACTGTTTTCTGTATCAAACGAAACGATATCTGTATTTTCGAACTATATAAGCTTCAACAATTAAATTAACGAAAAATAACTCAATACTCAGAACCAATTGTGTTTACGTGTAAAAAGTGCTTCATGCTTGCTAATAAATGTTTGAAAATCTGACTCACCTGCAAGACTAAATGCCTTGAGAATAAATGTTTTATGCATGATACTACATATTCAGTGTCAGATTCAGTTAATTCTACTAAGGAAGAAGATTTGAATATGGAGCCAAGACCAGAAAATTCGGGTATAGATGCCAGCTGCTCAGCAAATGAATCTTGAATACGTTTCCCTGACATCTGAGAAGCAAGTGATGCGTTTCGACCTTCACCAGCCATTGTATTAGATTTAGCTTGAAAACAACATCAGAATTTATTGAGAAATAATCAAAGTACTTTGTCCTGATAGTTGTGAAAAAACAAATGAATATATCGCACTAGAAACAAGACGGTAACCTCGGACTACACATATCAATGTATTTTGCAGCAGAGAAATGGTAAGTGAGAGTGTATCCATCACAGCAAATAATTTCGAGTCGTATCATCTGATACTGAACACATGTGTGTAAATCACGACAATCGTTTCAACTCTCCATATACTTCAACCCAATGACCAGTGTTCCAAGAGTGCTGCCATATTTTCGTCTGACTATCCTTGATCTTTTCTAGTTTAGCTGTACTGTTTGAGTAACTCACTTATACAAACCAAATTAGTTCTACGGTGGGATTATTATTTCAAAATCACAATAGACTACTAGTTATTATATATTTTGTCCGCTCGCGATATATTAGTGTTTTTATTATTTCTAGGTTGATCACAGAACAGATAAGATGTGATAGGCGATAAGTATACATATAAAACTCCCACAGCAAAAATACCTCATATAAAATGACATCATCTTTAACTCGGTAACGATATTTTAAACGATGTCCACGAACTTATTTCAAAATTAATTTTCTATTGAATACTCCCTCGGATTATTATTAATACGCATAAGACAGTTTCGCTTACCTTTAATCTTGACAACATCCGATTCAGTGGCAGAACTAAGATCATTTGGCTGAACAATATCAGCTATTGGGACTGTCGCCAAAGAGAAAGGACTACCAGCAACTGTGTGTGAGTTGTGCACATAATCCAACAAAGCACGCTCTAAACCAGATGGACTTAGATGCATTTCTTCACTTAAAAGGTAAGCAGATTTTAATGCTACTTGGTTATGTGATAAAATATAGTGGTAGAAAGCTGCGCGATCACGAACCTCATCGTCTTCATCAATCATAATTCTAGACGTAGATGAAACAAAAACAAGATGGTTTTGAAGGTAAGTAAAAAAAATGACCATTGAAAGGATCCGTTTGTTTAATACACAGAAAAAAATAATAGCGAGCTTAGTCTCCAACTATATCTGATTTAGATGACACAACACGAACAGAATGGTGAACTCAAAAAGCTAGAAAAAGGCGAAGGACAGGTCTGAAAGTCTTCGTGAAGGAAATACAAAAAAACGTGACCAGCATTTGGATGCATTGTCTATTAATAAACGTTTTCGATGTAATTATCTATTGCACTCATGTTCAGAATATTGTCGTGAATAAAACTGATATGAACAACAAACGGTTGTGATAAACATGGAGTGTGCTCCGCACAAATCTTTAGGCTACCTCCTTTCCAAATATAAACAACAACGACCCATGTGTTTGGTTTATTCAGACTAACTATTATTGTTGAACACTAAGGGTTGAGTTAGAGCTTATGGCAAAATGTCATCGGAAATGATAACTTCGTCAGGGTTGCCTGCTTCCCTTATCTCTACCTAACCTTGTCATAACCATGCTTTTGGAGATAACGCCCTAATTATCTGACTCATCAGAAATCTATCCTCAACCAACAAACTCACTTATTGACTTAAAATTCAATGATATATTTCTGTTAGGTGAAGACACTGAAAAAATACAAGCTCCTGACCACCTTGAACAACAATGCAAGCGTTTTTCTCCACCACATTGCAGAATGTTACTCCAGAACTGGTCTGCGCTAACGCCTGAACTAATGATAGGAAGTGAAGTAATTAGGTACGTCTATCTCTTGACCTATCTTGGAAATCTCATAAACCTTGGTTGATGAAATGGCCCAAAATCGTTCGCAATGGCACGAGTATACTTATTTTTTGTCTGCCCTTACATTCTATGTATTTAAATTTTGGCGCGAAACTTTCTCGTTCATATGGCAAAGAAGCATTTTGGTATTACAGCTGATATCAGTTCGTAATGAAAAATGTGACTTATTGTTAACCCTTACGCTCAACAGCAAATTAGTCGAAGTTCTCAGCGTCATTTAAGCATCCCTCAAACGTAGTATCTAAATTAGTCTCACCGACAGATTTTGCGTTGCGTATGACTGATTGACCAATATTGTCCATTAACCCCTTCTTAATACTAATGGATATTAAAAGAAGCTTGTAAGCCATCACTATGCTGAACATTTTAGAAATGAAACGGAAGAGGTTGGTTCTATATTTCTCTATTTTTCTATCCTCGCAGGACGAAGGGACAAGTACATTATGATTCATACCTATTTGTCTAGATTGAGAAGTCATATTATACACCGTTTTTATGGACGTCGTTCTTATTACTGTCTTTGCACTGATGCGAAAAAATTTATTCAGACGAATTACAACTAGAATGAGTAAAAAAATCAACGTTTATGAGTTCATTCAAAAAAAACTCATTTAATGTTCAGACCATTTCACGATATCAGTGTGAATCATCTAACCAGTGATGCTGCAGTTTAGTAATATACTTTATAGTACGTTTTGTCGTAACTATCGATCTTTAGTGGGCAGGTATCAACAGAATCTGAGTTGACAGAACAAATGGGTGATTAACTACTAACTTTTTTATTATTTAAAGTCTTGCACATGATTGTTTGTTTTACGTAAACTATGTCAATTCAGACATAGCTTTAATTAATTCGAAATGTCATAAGATATAGACCATAAAATGTGAAGCTCTAAAATACTAAAATTCTAGATCCTTTGGTAGACAAAACGGCAGACTTAAGCTTTTAAGAATTATCCGATTACTGAGAGATTTTTAACACCCATCCCTACATTGAAATGTCCCATGATTTTTTTAAAATCCTCACCTGTTAATTAATTGTTTATCCAAATTAAATTTTGTACGTCGCTTTACAAACACTATGTTGAATTCCACATTACAGGAATATTCGAAGTTTGTACGAAGTGCTATTTCCAAATCTAACAAAGCTCAATATGAACAAAAATTTATAAAAAAAACCAGACAACAAAAAATTGTGTATACCGTTTAAGAAGTACAAGAATACTCGGAAGTAATTCCTCATTGTGTGCAGCAAACCTCGCCAGAGCTGTTGTAGCTGTGCACTTAATGGGAGCTGATTCGAGCATAACTCTATTGTAAATGTAACGAGTAAATTGACGAGGACGTTTGAGGTAGGGTCCCTCCCGTCCCAACAGATGGAGTATACGCTGTGTTAGTTTAACATGTTCACAATCCTCTATGAAGTCACATAATTGTAACAAACCTATATTCAGATTAGAAATAAGAAACACATATTTAGTAGCGAAGTATAACCATGTCCAAGCGTTAACTTTTATTGTGTCTAACAAATCAAAGAGTGAAAGGGGATAGAGTGTTTAGCAGGAGACGACCTACATGTTTGAAATATTTATCAGTACGATACTGTTTTGAATTGAGTTTTGGTAGAGTTCAACCTCGATTATTAAGTTTATTATGTGAGAAAGTATAAAAATTACTGGTTAGCCATTTAGCATTTAATCAATAAACCACAGGCTTGAATCACGCGTTCCATAATTTTCTTTACGCAGTTGGACAATATCATTAGTCCAAATCGGATTACATACATCCATATTTAGCCAATGAGTTACTGTAACCCTATATAATGAACATATACTGGAGATCCTTCTACATGAAACAAACGTAAAGAAATATTTCACGATGAGCGAACTTTGTGTAAAGATTAGTCTGCCCAATAAACTTCCACTTACGACCCCATGATGACGGAAATATTAGAATACTAAATTTAATCCAACACTTATTTATAGGGCATGGTCAGCCAAACATGATACACAGCTCCATATTGGCACATACAGTTAGCAGTGGTCATATGGTCGATAAAACTACTTAGTTTCAAGTGATTTATCGTATCCTTCCGTCACTTCTCAATAAAACTCGATTTCGTCTTGCCCATATAGCAGAAACTATAGGGATCCGAGTCTATAACTCAAGTTCATGTGTTCAGAAAAAATTCGTGACACCCCTGTCCCTTCGTTGTCTGGATATGATTAATTAAACGATTTCGCTGATTTACATACGTGCTGTAATTGTTTTTTGTCCTTCACCTATTTTCGTCTATATTCTGATTATTTACATGACTTTTTGTTGCGTAATTTTATTTATTTATTCCAGTTTGAGCTACTTCCTATGTTAAACTCTTAACTAGAACTTTTATTATTTCTATCACTACTAGTACACCTATCTGCTTACCATTAATTTGTATTTTTCCTCTTATTACGTTTATTTGTGTAACCTGTTTCATTGTGATCACTGACTCACAAACTGCCTTGATTGTTTCAATATTTTTATATACCCAGACAAATATTTCATGCGTACAAGAGTAAGAGCTGATGACAACCCGATTGAGAACAATATTGTTCGCTTGCATGTGTTCTAACTTACAACATGGAAATTTTTAACGAACTACTCTGTAAAAATTTCCAGAAAAACATAGGGCAAAAGTAAATCATCAATGCTGGTGAACTACTTGCAATTACGAAAACCACTGTTTAGTCTGTATCTTACATTTTTAGTAACTCAAATAGTCATACTGCGATCCGTCGAGTGTGGAAGAATGGGATTTGTCTGGCTGATGTGTCAAACTAAGTGAACTGATGTAATCAACTTGGCTGGGTCTGGCGCCTAGTGAGACTACACAAGTAAATACTGATTTTCTGTGAGGTTTTTGCAATTTGAAGCATGTTCTCTTATCGGTGCGAATTCTGAGCGCAAAAAAATTTATATATTCAAAATGTCTACATAACGACTGATGAAACTCAGGGATCAAAGCAAGTTAATAAAGTGAAAGGAATCGTAGAATCTGGCAACTATAGTTATTTCAGCCAATAAAATTAGTTATCAGAAATCAGTGTCGCACGACATGTAGTAGTCCCAGTTACTATAAACATCTAAGCTGAAGGAAAAGCACGGAGAACAACATACTCGATCCTCCTACAACTTTGACTAAATTCAACTGCAACTCCATAATTAATGAAGACCGATGAAACATACGGTGCGTAAATGAAGAATGAATTTCATTTACTACAGTGGGTGGTAAACAGCTTACATAACTGCCCCCGCCCCACCGCATTTTTAAAGATGGAGATTTTTTAATCAAAAAGAATCCATTGTAGTACCCATTTTGAAAAAAACACAATAAGTCCTAATCACGAAAATACAGTTCTACTACCAGTTACGTTGAGAATACTAGTTGGTGTACATCAAAGTAATTGTCATGTTTCATGCATTTCAATCGTCCACTAACCTAAATATAATCTAACATCCTGCCTGAAATAAACTAGCATTCGGAAAAAGCTACAGAAGCCCCCAACAAGATACGGAACCAGTTCATCAAGTTAGTGCCTGTTGGTCGAATCTTCATAAGATACGGTAGACTACTTCTATGAAGTCTTTGACATGATATATTACACCTTTTGTGAGTACGAATATCATGTAATTCTGAGATTTGCTAAACTATTTCTAAATTAATCTGAGCATTCAGATTCATAAGCATACAAATAATTAATCGCTTATTTTACAAACATTTACGCATATCCAATGACACCTGTTCACGATACCAAAAAAAGGCGATCTCAGCAAGTGTGATAATTACAGAGGAATCACACTACTGTCAGTAACAGGAAAGATCTTCAACAGGGTATTGGTAAAAAAATGAAAGATTCTGTGGGCGCCAAACTTTAAGATCAACAGGCTCGATTCGCAAGGATCGATCAGGTACCGACCAATCTACAACACTACGGATCATTGTGGAACAAACAATTAAATGGAATTTACCACTCTACATCAACTTTATTGATTACGAGAAAGCATGTGATAGAGTGGACAGAACACTAAGGAGGTTTCTTCAACAATACGGAGTGCTTGAGAATATAACCAACACCATACGGAATTCCCATGATGGATCAAACTGCAAAATCGTGCATGGAGGACAGCTGACAGACTCGTTCGAAGTAAAGACGAGTGTCAGGCAAGGTTGCTTACTCTCACCCTTTCTCTTTCTTCTGGTGATCGACTGAATCATGAAGACGACATCTCGGGGGAAGCATGGGATACAGTTGACGTCTAGGATGCAGCTGGACGATCTAGACTTCGCAAATGATATGGCTCTTCTATCGCACACGCAACAACAATTGCAGAAGACAACCAGTGTAGCAGCAGCTTCAACAGCATTAGGTTTCAACATACAGAAAGGGGGAAGCAAGATTCTCCGATACGATATAACATGCACTAATCAAATAATACTTGACGGAGAAGATTTGGAAGATGTAAAAACCTTTACATATCTGGACAGCATCACCGATGAACATGGTGGATCTGATGCAGATGTGAAGGCGCAGACTGGCAAAGCAAGAATAGCATATTTACAACTAAAGAACATCTAAAACTCAAAACAACTGTCAACCAACAGCAAGGTCAGGATTTTCAATACAACTGTCAAGACAGTTCTACTGTATGGCGCGGTAACCTGGAGAACTGCACAAGCCGTCATCCAGAAGATACAAGTGTTTATTTACAGCTGTCTACGCAAAATACTTCGAATCCGTTAGCCAGACACTATCAGCAACAAACTACTATGGGAGAGGACAAACCAGATTCCAGTGGAGGAAGAAATCAGGAAGAAGCGCTGGAAGTGGATAGGACACACATTGAGGAAAGCAACCAACTGCGTCACAACGCAAGCCCTCACATGGAATCCTCAAGGCCAAAGGAAGAGAGGAAGATCAAAGAACACATGACGTCGAGAAACGGAGACAGACATGAAAAGAATGAACAACAATCGGATAGAACTAGAAAGGAAGGCCCAGAACAGAGTGGGTTGGAGAATGCTTGTCGGTGGCCTATGCTTCATTGGGATTAACAGGCGTAAGTAAATAAGTGATATTCAATTGTTTGCAGTCAGTTTTAATGACAATTTTGAGAGTTAGTGTTTCAAAAAACTATTTGAAATCAATTCTCTGATGATCAAGAATTTCAAGTGATTATCTTATTTTGCTAAATTTTAGATTTGAGAAAAGTTTACAGAAACGCGTAAGACAAACCTACCTATACTTTTGGCTTCTGGAATTTGTTTGATAATTGATTCGATAGCAACCACAACTGCTTTTTTAAAAGTGTATCCAGCCGAATCACGAAGAAGTCCAGATAAAAAGTTTAATAACACTGTATACTTTTTGGGGTACTTTGTTGCTAATGCATGGATAGATTCCAATACGACTATTTTAAACTCATCGCTTATTTCACTCATGAACGGAGATACATGTTTTAGCAAACGTTCAACATTCGACTCGTTACCCGTCTAAAAAATTTAATAAATAATATTCTAAGCTGTGTAATTCCATATAGTCTATAACTATTGCACATTACAAGTTATATTGCGCCAAATTGAGTTCTCACACATTTTAATAACGTTGAAAGAGGAAACCAGAAAAATAAGAAAGTAAAAAAGTGAATCAATGTTGAGTATTTACAATAGTATTAATTATCCATACTCCTACAAACCGATGTTTTATACAACGAAAATCCTACAGAATGGGAATAACTTACCAATCACTTTAGGCAAACCACTGAACTAGCTTAAAAGAAACCCTATTTTTAAGCTCTGGGCTACTAAAGAATCTACAACAATAAAGTATAGATCGACGCGGTGTTTCCATGTCTGTTTTTACCTTGTAGGTCATAAATTAGATCTACGATCGTTGAAAGGGCACAATAGTGTACCAAGTACAAGCCAAGTACGTTGAATCAGAAAACTAATATTTACCTGTCTTGATTTTAGATAGTTTATGGCCGCCAACATCAGTTACTTTAGGTATTAAAGAGGGATTATGGTGGATACACAACTCACTGATATTGATTACTGAAGGTCGCTTGGGAATTGCTAACTGCTACCGACCAAGGTTTGTGCAGATTCTGATAATGATGGGAATCACAAATAAAAATGAAGCTAGTAGTCTACCGCAGTTTTAATCACTTACCTTTAGTAAAGTTGTTATTGCAAGTGTTGCAATGCTTCTATTAGGATCACCGATTAGTTGCTCAAGATCGAGATTACATGCAGTTACCGCTGCAGGATGGTTACTGGCGACAGCATTTAACGTATGTACAGCAGCATATCGTAACGCAGGTTTGGAAGACGTACAAAGCAGTTGTAAAACACCCACAGCAGGTGCTAACTCTTTAGCTGTTAAGTTTCGGAGGCTAATTATTGCTCGAGCTGCTTCATATATGACCATCTCCGATTTATGGCGAAGAGATGACTCCAGAAACTCATATAATTGTGGATTATTCCTTAAGAAAGTGTGGAAATATGGTTTAAGGGGTAGAAAATAAATTTTAAAACGACAAACTGCGTTTGAAGACGTGAAGAAGACAGAATAGCACATTATACATATCATACAAAATATGTGGATCAAAGAAATCATTTCTCAGTATAGTGCATGTACACAGCAATTGATGTGACCCAGACAGTTCAAACAAATTCGATTTGTTTTGGAATACAGGAAGTATAGGACATTACTATGGTTTATACACCTTACAATTTTAACAATACATACGACATACTTCACGCGAAAATGACGACAATATATGACCAAACGTGGTCTACGAGCTAGTTAAGATTTTGAAAAGCATGAGAACTCATATGCAATAGTCGAGAGAGCATACGGATATGGAAGAATTACTCCGATCCTAGTGTGGTCATTCACTTGAACTCACCTCAGCGAAAAGGAGAGCCGACGAGATACACCCTGCGTGTATTTGGAGACCCGATGGCTAGTTCTCGTGAACTGGCAGGTGTGGGCATAGCACTGAATATGAAGGCGGAACAAGCACTATTAGAGTGGATCCCCGTTAACAGTCGCCTATGTGTTGTTCGGTTAAACGGCTACGTGAGAACTCCGAAGGGTGGGGACACACATTGCCTTTTTGTCGTTTCTGCCTACGCTTCCTTCTGAAAACCTTCAGAAAGCTAACGGTTCAGACATAGCACTCATAGCAGATGACTTTAAGGCCCAGGTAAGTAGCTGAAACCACGCAGAAAGACATTTAGGTGAGTAATTTACTATTCCGGTTCAGCGAACAGATAATAGTGATCGTCTGCTGCAACTGTGCTCAGACAACCATTTGTTTTTCAGTCAGTCAGTAACAACGTAGAACTTCGTACGTACGTACATCAGTTCGAGTTGCCACACCACATTAGCACAGAGATGCAGTCGACTCAAACTCCGTTGTGGTAGAGGTAGTAACAGTATAAACAGTAATTGGAAAGATTAGGGTTTGAAGATGTTAGTCAAGGAGTATAACACACTGAAATAAATTTGGAAAGAGGAAAAAAAGGACATGAAGAATTCAGAAGATTAGAATTTGGGAGAACACAAAGAGTGGATGCACCTGCGCCATTGCAAACGATTTTGAGCCATGTCATTCAGGGTCTCTAACCATCGGTTGCTATCATCTCGCGGTCCCCAACCAGGTAGTCTACACCTATCAACATGACTCAGTCCACTTGTCAGTGACTTCATGGACTTGTGCCATGTTTTGGTCTGGCCGCCCCTAGCTTTCTCCCAACCTACTCCTATACCACTGGACATAGCACGTCGAGGTAGTCGGTCGTTGGGCATACGTAACACGTGTCCCAGCCATCTCAACTGATGAAGTTTCACTACTTCATCAATTGATTTGCCATCCTTACCTAGTACCCGTTTCCTAACAACTGTGTTACTTACTCGATGGTCCCATGATATACGAGCAATGTTTCGAAGACACCTATGATCAAATACTAGTAGCCTACGGATATCCTCTACTCTTGCCGGCCATGTTTCACTGCCATAAAGTAGGACGGAACGAACTGCTGCGCAGTAAACCCGTCCTTTGGTTGATAGACGGATATCTCGCCTACGCCATAAATGACGCAAGTTGGTAAAAGCTAGTCGAGCCTTCTGTATCCGTGCTGAGATTTCGTCACACACCAGACCACAAAGGCTGATGAGACTTCCAAGATAAGTGAAGCGATCGACACGCTCAATTACTTCACTCCCTATCATTAGTTCGGGTGTCGATCCAACCCAATCCTGAAGCAACATTTTGCATTTCCAGGGGGGAGAATCGCATCCCGAACATGCTTGCATTGTTGCTTAGAGTGGTCTGAAGACTCTGCATTTTGTCAGCGTCTTCACCAAATAGAACCATGCCATCTGCATATTCTAAGTCAACAAGTGAACCTCCCGGTAGAAGTTCAACTCCTGGAAATTTAGATGAGGAGAGTGTTATCTCTAAAAGCACATCAACGACAAAGTTGGACAAGAATGGAGAGAGTGGACAGCCCTGACGAACACCACTTGAGGTAATCAATTCTGATGACAGCTCGCCATAAGCTCTCACTCTACCAGTTGTGTTCGAGTAGAGAGCCTTTATAAGGTTAATGTACTTCTTTGGTACTCCTTTCAGTGGCAAACACTGCCATAGAACCTTACGATCAACAGAGTCGAATGCCACCTTAAGGTCGAGAAATACTACCATTGTGGGGCGTCTTAACGAGTGTCTGTGTTCTAGAACCTGACGTAGTGTGAATATCTGATCTATACAACCACGTCCAGGTCGAAAACCAGCCTGGTTTTCTCTAGTCTGCTCTTCACGAGCTTTGGTTAGGCGTCGAAGTATTATTGAAGCTAATATTTTAGACACTATATTTGTCAAACTGATTCCTCTGTGATTGTCACAAGAGGACTTTTGTCCTTTCTTATAGACTGGCACAATCAGTGATTGAGACCAGTCAGATGGGACTGTTTCCAGTTCCCAAATTCTACCTAAGACCTCGGTTAATCTCATTGCTAATACTGGACCACCATCCTTAAAAATCTCAAGGGTAAGCCTGTCAGGACTTGCTGCTCTCCCTCGCTTCAGATTTCCTATAGCTTTTTCAACTTCGTAAAGAGACGGAGGACCTACATTAACTTGCCATGCAGGTTGACTGGAGATCGTGGGAAACCGAAGTGTGGCTGAAGGCCAGTTGAACTGATCCCTAAAGTGTTCCACCCATCGATCCAATCTCCTGGATTGGGAATGTATAATATGTCCATCTTTCTCCGAGATTGTTTCGCTAACAGTCGGGTTCCTAATACCGGTTTCCTTAACAGGTTTGAACAATTGTCTGCTATTACCTATCGCCGCTGCCTTTTCCATTTCTCTTGCTTTCGCTACCCACCACTGTTCACGATCATTGCGTAGGCTTTTTGTCAGCTTGCGCTTAAGCTGACTCCGCTCTTCGTTATGTTCAGATCCAAATGGGATGAGTTTCCCAGCATCTATCAGTGCGGTAGATGCTGCTGATATCCAGTGTTGCTCCCTAACCTTCTGGTTTACCGTATTAGCAGATATCATTGCTGTTTCCACAGCTTTTCGGAAATCATTCCATGCTGCCTCGGGGTGGGCATCACATACATGGCTGCCTAACTGTTTTCCTAGTTGTTCCTGAAATATATTCTTAGCTTGACTATCATTAAGTAGGGCCCTAAGAGGTTTCCTTGCAGCGTCTTTCCTACGTCCAGTAAGACGCAGACAGATACGCGCTCGTACTAGAGCATGATCTGAATCTAAGCATGTGCTCCAGAATGAGCGACAGTTTTCTATCGAGCCCCTCCATCGGTGGCTGATAGCGATGTGATCTATTTGGGTCCAACGTTGGGACGAATTAGGTCGCCATGTTAGATGTTTTTCCTTATGCTTAAAGTTAGTATTTGCAAGGAACAGGCAGTTATCTGAGCATAGCTGCAACAGACGGTCGCCATTATCTGTTCTTTGAGCCACAACGCTATAAGATCCACCCAGGTGTCTTTCCTCTTGCCTAGTTTACCTACTTGAGCAATAAGTCACCAGCCAATATTACTACATAAGAGCGACTAGCTTTTCGGAGAAGGTTGGAAGGCTTTCTATAAAACTCATCTTTTATATCATCTGAGCTGCAGTCAGTGGGAGAATAGGTAGAGACGATGAAGAGGCAACAACGCTTATCCCTATCTTTCCGAGTCCTTATTGTTACGTTTATTCGGACAGGGCACAAAAGGCTGTCTACTGGGATCCAGTCTAAGAGAGCTAGTTCTGCCCTAGGGCTCAATGCTATACAAACAATGCTAGCAAACAGCAATTCTAAGCATAAGGAGAGACATCATCTAACATGGCGATCCCCTGCACCAAACCAACGATGGATCATGTTGCCATCAGTCAATGTTGGAGAGGGTCGATAGACTATTGTCAATCATTCTAGAATATAGTGAAAATTCCCATTTTGCCATTTGGTAAATAAAGAAGGAACGAACGTTCATTCTGGAATACCTGTTTGGACTCCAACCATGCTCTAATACGGGCACGCATTTGCTTGTGCCTCTCTGGACGCAGGAAAACCACACTAGGAAGACCCATTAGAGTCGAACTCAGTGACGAGGAAGCCGGAAGTAGATTTCAGGAACAACTGAGGTCACACTTAGGAAGTTCTGAAAACGAGACTGACCCAGATGTTGCTTGGAGAGATATACGAACTGTGGAAACAGCAGCGACATGTGTTAGTGATTTGAATTGAGGGGTTACGATAAACCAATGGATTTCTACTACGTCTATTGCAATGATAGATTCTCGTAAACTCATCCCATCAGGTTCTGAACACGATGAAGAGCGAAAAAAAGTCAGGTCCAGGTTAACCAAAAGTCTAGGGAACAACCGTGAGGAGTGGTGGGCAACGAAAGCCAAAGAGATGGGAAAGGCAGCGGCTGTAGGTACACAAGACAGCTTTTCAGACTAATAAAAGAATTGTGAAACAATCTCAGAAAAAAGCGACACTCATCTGCTCTCAGTCCAGATGTTTAGAACGATAGGCGGAACATTTTAAGGAACAATTCGGTTGACCTTCGTCTGCCAACCATTTCCAAACAGCCTGAGTGGAACATTGAAACAAGCCCTCCGACTTTAATTGAAACTCAAAAAACTATTGCTGATCTGAAACGGAGAAGAGCAGTTGGTCCACATAAATTGGCTCCAGAGGTTTTTCAGAATGGTGGTCTAGTCTTAGCGATCAAATTTACTAATATTTCAGCTTAAATCTGGGAGTTGGACGTGATCCCATCTGACTGGTCGCAATCACTGATCGTCCCAAAATATAAGAAAGGATCGAAATCAACCTGAGCCCCAAAATAACCTGGTATGGCCGAGTGGTGTGGGCCCGCCCTCCCTCTCGAAATGCTCTCACACGGCCTCACGTATACAGCCTCTGCCAGGGAAGTCCTACTCACTGCCTTCTC